TTCCTCAGTCAGTGTCTTTTTTTAAAAACTGAATTGCTGAATTTCTTACTTTGCGTCTGACCTTGAGTAATGTCCTTCTGTCAGACAATAGAGCAAAGCATTAAAATAAAGGATTGCAGTGCTACATAAAAGGAGAAATATGCTTTTTCAGATTTTATTTCTCGTCCTCACCATTGCCTAATTGGGAAATTACAATTCTATATTGAGCATCAAAGTATCAGAAAAGACAGAGGCCAGGCAGTTTGGTTGATGTTTCACTTCCAGTCATCTGATTTACAGAATCACTATCCAGAATTCTTCATTTACTTATGGCAGCATGCTTTGGGTTTTTCAGCAGAATTTCAGCCATCTAACTTTGAGAGATAACACAGAATATGGATGCAACATCATGACTGCTCTCTTTCATCTCTCCAGTTTGTCCCTCTGTGACTCAGTGTCTGGTAGATTTCCAGTTTTTGAGACATCAAAGAGCATCTGGGATTAAATTAACCAACATCAGGCTGCTGACTGGAATTCAGAGCACTGCATCGTCTTGTGACTATTTGTTTTGTCATGTTTGCACCAAACATAAGATTTTAAGAAACTAGTAGAGAAACTATTAGTTTTGGAGTCAACAATGTGACTTTTGGTTTTGTTGTGTTTAGCTTTATCTTTTTGTTGGTTACTGAAAGACGTTGTTACATTTTCTTGAGGAGACATATTATGTTTATGCTAATCGGCCTGCTGGCCCACTTTGTTATTGGTCAACCACTATCGTGTGTAGGAAATATCGACCTCCACTCTTGCTGGCGTGCCGGACTAGCTGATCATTATGATGTCACATGACAAAACATCACATGGTTGATGCGGAAGTATCGGCCAGATTACTGACATGAATAAAAACTGTGTTGAGCACGCCATGTGAAGTTACTTCACTAACTTCTCTCTGACTCACTTCTTACTGTCTGTTCTTCCTCTTTTATTCTTGGTATGTGTAGCTCATTCACCCACTATGTTCAGGACGATCATCGGAATTCACAGAGAAAAACTGAAAGAGCCCAATCTGTCTCCTTTAAAACATATGATTCTATATTTCTGAACTGACTTGGCTGTTGTAGCTGAGGGGAATTACACCTTGTCTTTAGCCTCATTGCTAATACTGGTAATATTAGCAACACAGACCAAATCACCTGACTCAAGTATTTGGAAGTTAAAGTAAAAGCAGGGCACTGATTACATTTGACCAGTTTTCACCTGTCTGTAGAATTTTCCCTGTCTTCACCTGATCTGCTGTCGTGTTCAGGCCGAGAGAAGCTGTATCTGTTTCATACTGTGACGCTGTTTTCTTTGTGTCAACAGAGTGTACAGTTTCAGCCTGAGCTCGCAAAAGCTGTCCTCAGACAGTCTCAAGTCATTCATCGTCTGAAATGCATCGGTTCCTGAGTTAATCCTTCATAGTTAATTCTTAAAGCAAAGATGTATTTTTTTTTATACTATTTTATCTGTGGGATCAAGTCTCTCAGCTGTCTGTCAACTTTCTGTTCACATATTCACCTCTTTAATAGAGATATTGTAAATACCTAGCAGACACATATAGAGTGGATATTGCAAAATTGATCAATTTAGTATGCGGCATTTGTATTTCAGTTATTCATAAGGACGATCAGCGCCAGGTAAATCTCTCTGTGTTTTGCACTTTACCTTGGATTTGAATCAGGCGTCTGTGGTAGCTGTACATTTCACGTCAACCAACAAAGATCGGTTTACCAGAGCAGAGACGAAGCGTAACTGTATTTATAGAAACAGAGGCGGAGCCGGCTACAGCAATTGCAGGATGAAATAGCAGAGCCCATGGTGGAAAACAAAGAGAACTTCCAAAGAAAGTCTCTGATTCTCCAGAAATGTGAATTCAGAGGAAGGGTCACACTTTAAAGAATTAAGTAAGTTCACCTGTAGGCAAACAACCAGCAGTGTTTGTGTAATTACTCTCACTGCCAGAAGGGAGAGACAAAAGTTCCACAACTGCAGGTTTAAGACTCTTTACCCTTGGGACTCTGTGGTCTAAGTGTGTTTTGGTTTCTACCAGACTCAATCACCACATAACCTTGATTCTATCTGTGCAAAGCATTGTTGGATCCTCATAACACTACAACAGCCTTTCACATACAGTCGGTTCAGACTTACACACACTGGTCTATATTGAAGTGCAAAGCAACAGAGGGTTTAACTAATCAAAGGAATGAGGAACAGTAATGTTTTATTTTGGGTACATCATTTCTGGTAAGGGGTCTCATCAGGTTACACAGATGTTGTAGTTTAAGATATTATCTTTGATTGTGGTTATCAGTCTTGGTGTGATTTTTTGTTTGTAAGATCCTTTTTTAGTTTTATTTTGCAAATATGGATACTGTGCAGAAGACTTGTTCAGAGTTGGTGGTTAATGTATAAAACATAAAAACTTGCTATTTATCTGCTATTTTTTTTATTACTTATGCACTTTGGCACAACAGCCACTTTATATTTTACTACGTTAACATTTTAGTTTTACCACACATTTTAATTTCATTTTAATTTTTCAAGACGCACATTTTAACATTACCTTCACAATAGATGGGACTCAGGGACAATGTGTGTCTTCCATTTTATATTTTGTGCGATTTCCTTTAGCTTCTTAATCTTATGGAGGGATCCCAGGGAGACTCCAGTTGTATGTCTGGTAAAATTAAGTCTTGATTTAATTTTTTTATGATTTCAAAAAATTCAGGCACCTCCTCCTCCTCATAGTTTTGCCATTGACTGCAGTTCTGCTGTTTGACCTCAGCGTGGCAGCAAAGCGCTGTCAGTGTAGTGTCGCTGTGTGGTGAGAGAAGAAGTGAGCTCGGTGTCAAGCAGCTGCAGCTTCCACACAGTGACTGATCCACGCATCTCCTGGAGCAGGTAGCTGCTGGTTATCCTCCTCCATCATGAAGTCTGTGTAACTCTGTCAGGTGGCACTCACACTGGGGTGGGGCGGTAGAGAGGCCTCTCTGTTTCCAGTGGTGGGAGTGTAAGGGGAGCACTGCTTGAAGATGCAGTTGTCAAACTATAATGCTAATGCTAGGTGGGATTCATGGTTTGTGTGCGTGATCAATGCGATCATCTGGTAGCTTTTGTTTGTGTTTGAGGGGAGTTTGTGAACCAGGAGAGGCCACTGAAGAAATGAGAATACACAACTGGCCATTCATTCGCTGCGTTGTTGTTTAGTGTTACACAATAATTCGTGGAACTGAAGACTAATGTCAGCACATTTCTTGTGGGACTAATTGGGATAGTTGGAATTGTGTATTTTCAGTTTTTTGTGTAAGAACAAATAGAAAAATTAATGAGAAATCCTAGAGCCTCCATTTTCTTGCTATTATTTTGAAAGTGCGCCACACACACACCTGCAGCTGACTGAGGGCAGGTCGTCAGCAGCTGATTGGCATCAATTAAATGCTGCCTTCATGGAACAGGTTTAGAGTCAGACTTTTTACCCACATCGATTTTTCCTGCTACACCTTCAAGTGTATAGTTTGATTAACATCGTTAAAAAAAACTCTGAATAATAGACAAAGAGTTCATCATCAACATATATACACATAGGTAAGTAGAGCAGATGGAGGGTTCACCATAGGTTTTTGTAAATGTAACAAATATGAAATACAGACACTAAGGTGGCACATATCACGAATGATAATTTGTCTCCTAGGGCTTAACAAGGTGGAACATCCTCTGCCCTTAACCCTCTACAAGAGTGAGTAAAAACTACAGCAGAAACAGGTTAAATAAACATAGAAACCTCAGAGAGAACCACATAGACGCCACATGTTACTGAACACATTACAAAATGACAATATTTACAAAATTGATTTGTAGAAACAGATTTTACCATAATGGAGAAGTGTGTCAGTGTTTAAAGTGTTTATACTTAAGAAAATGTCTGAAGGAGATGAAGGGAGCAGCAATGACAGTTGAAATGGAGGAGTTATCGTCACTAATGGTAGAATATGTGAGAGGTCGAATTGTTTCATAGTCCATGATCAGCCACCATCACGATCCATCACGACTGTCCATGATGCAGCTTTTCAAGTAATTTAAATATGGTTTGAATACACATTCAACTTCTGTGCTCTTATTTTAATATTTAATCATTTAATTTGATTTGTTACTTTAATATCATCCAGTAATGAAAATTATTGCGTGTTTATGTAATTTTGGTACCATTTTATTTAAAAATTGTTGTATTTTCCCAAAGAGTAGTGACCTCAAGATGGCGATGTTTGTTCTGTGTTTTATGCTCCCACCCGACCTATAAGAGAATCAACAAAGACCAGATGGAAACCGTTTTTCCACAAACAAAATGACAGACTCCAGGGCCCACAGGCAGTAAATCATTCATACCAAATACAACTTTCTCTTCCACTGTGCTGTAATCGTTCAGGATTCCTTCTAAATATCACGGAAAGGCCAATTAAAAACATTTTCAGAGAAAATACCATGCAGTTGATCGGCACCCACAACCCTCGGCAATAACTTTAATAAGGCCTGACGCTTAAGTAGATCTTATCTTTCTAAACATGGCTCACACTCCTTGTTTAATCATTTTAAAGCATTGTCATCGTTATCATTTCCCTTCAAGCATCTTTTCGTTCACCTCACCTACTGAATTTAAAAAATGGTTGCTACAAGAGATTGTAAGAAAGTCTGTGCAGCAGGTTTTGGATCAGACATTTATGTATAAGAGCTGATGTAAATAGTTATTCTGTTAGTTCTGCCACTTTACATGGCTCCTCAGAAGGTCACATTTCTTGTGAAGTCATTATGAGATAAGAATCTCATGGGTATAATGTCATAAATAGTGTTGAGTCTTTTGTGTGTATTTTGTGCAAGCCTGTAAAAATGTCTTTTTCCATCCCAAGCTTGTCTCTGTTGCCTCTCCCCTCATTGTTGTAATGTTTCCAACGACACTGTATGCTAAGCTTTTTTTCCCCTCTTTCACTCAGGATGTTGATTAGATACGCTGCGGTCCAAGGCGGCCTCAGCCTGTTGGCCGTGAGGCGCGTGTGTCTTCTGTCCCGCTTTGCCCACTCGGCCCCGCAGAATCAGTATCGACCAATCAAGAAGGTTATGGTGGCCAATAGAGGTAAGACCCCACCCCATCCTTTTATCGACTCCCTAACACAAGTATTTCACCACTCAAGAGGACAATTCATGTTGTCCTATAAAATCTTATTCAGTTTAATGCTGTTCCATGTATAATGTAAGAATAAAGTTACGACATTTGCAATCTTCCTGAGGCAAAAGAACAGAGTTTTAATTTTTAATGGGCACATAGTAATATTAAGCACACATTGTATATAGGTGGCTGTATTAGCTAGTGGTGTTTGCTTAAACCCAAAATAAGTTAATTTCTTTACATAATGAAAATAGAGGTGGAACTGCTCCCACAGCCCTCGAGGTAATAGCATCATATATTAAACTGTTGAATTTTGTGCACGACTGACATCACAGAGGTAATTGGTTGAATATTATCAATGAGGAAATCTAGATTAAAATCTGCATGGACGTCTCTTCATTCTCTGGAACCTAAATAAAACATGTTTTATGTAGTGTAACGTACATTAAACAATGGTTTTCCGCTGGGAAAAAGTGTTTACTCGTTCCTTTCTAAGCTGCTATAGAAATAACCATGGAATGGAAACATAATTAAAGCCAAGTGTTTTCTAAACACTTAACAGTCAACAGTATGGCTGTTATATGCAGCATAAACATCCCTGATATGCTGTGGTAATACATATAAACGTCGAACCCCCTCTTGTTTAAGGCTTATGCTGTCCAGAGAGGCAATCAGCATGCAATTAGAGTGACTCTGTCAGGTGACATTCAGGGTTTGAGTGACAAACAAATGCGCTCGTGCATTTTACTCTAATTGCTTTTCAGAGTTTTCCATCACATTCATTCCTGTGGACGTATTTGAAAAGCTTGATTCTGTTTTGCGTTTCATTATTTCAGATTGATTGATGTGTCAGGGTTTCCAGTGTTATTCCAAATCTGGACATATGTGGTCCTCCTGCTGCACAATATGTATTCGCTCTGAAAATGCATATGTTCATTTCCTAACCTCCTATAGATTCTTCAATCCATTAATTTGATTGCAAGATATTGCCATGTGCCACGCACATGCAGACAGCAGGGCTTACTGTCAACCTCTCCCCTTCACATCGGTATGATACGATATCAGTTAGATCACATTCTTCACTCTGCACCAGACTGTGTCAAGCTTGTTTGTGTGTGTGGGCGTATTCATTCATATATGTATGTCATAATAGACTTGATCATTGTATCAGTGCTGATTGCACTTAACCAAGCACATGCACTCTCTCTGATTGCTTCTTTGCTTTTTAACTAATAATCTCTTTAATACTCCCTCTTCTTCCTTTTCCTTCCTGCTCTCCTCTTCCTCTCATACCTCCTCTCTTCATCTACTCTTCTCTCTCCATTTCCACTTGTCAGATATGATTTTCCTCCAGGCCCCAAGCTGTCTTCTTTTTACCTCCCATGACTTTGCTCCCCTTTGCTTTCTCCTCCTCCACTGCTATTCTTGTCTCCTGTGCACTTATTTATCACTTTGTTAAACTTACCTTACCTCCAATCTTCAAAACCTCCACATAGTTCCTCTGTTCAGCGTCTCCTTTTGTATTGTTCTTTCTCTGACATTTACATTCTCTAGATTTCTCACCTTTACAATTACATTTCAACTGCCTGGTTGTCTCACCATCTTGTCTTCTCCTTTCATCCTTTTTGTGTTCCTGCTCTTCTTCCTCCAGAATTCACTTACTTGCTTGCTCACTATCTCTTTCCCTTTTTTTGTTTATAATCCTCATTGTTTGAGCGCTGTCCTCCCCAGGCAAGAACAACACATCTTGCTAGTTTCAGTAACTAAAAGTTTTTTCTTCCTCTCAGATTGTGCTGCTTGAGAAACAAGTATTTGGCCCTGGTGACAGCAAGATAAAAACACAGCCAGTGTTTTGCTTGTCTAAAACTGAGGTGTCACGCTCTGTGTTCTTAAACTTTAGAAAAATACTGCAGATCTGGCTCAGTGTGTGTTGATATTTTTGCACAGTGCGATGGCGAACACCAAATGGATCCATCTTTTTCACAGATCATGTATGACAGCATGGAAAACTGAAAGTTTATTTTACTCTCTCAGTGGAGGCGTTGGTTGAAAATTAGTGCTCATGCCACAGGATGTTGACACATTCATGTAAAGTCTGTGTTTATGGAGAGATAAAAGATTGAGAACTACACTAATGAATAAAAGTGGAGAGGAGCATCATCTGGGAAGAAATGCAAAGAAATGAAATTTTTGGACATAGTAAAATGCGTACACACATGCATTCAAGCACACACTCATACATATAAACAGACTTTGAACACACATGTACATAATCACACTAAGGCTTGTAAATGAATAAACCATGTCCTCCATTCCTATCCTCTTCTTCTTGTCTTTCAGGTGAGATTGCTATCCGTGTGTTCAGAGCCTGCACTGAACTGGGGATTCGAACCGTTGCCGTTTATTCTGAGCAGGACACTGGGCAGATGCACAGGTAATAATCTCTGCTACATTAGAGATCAATAGGTCTGCAGGGGTTTAAGTAAAAGTCTTGCTAAACTGCTGGGAAGCCACCACTGGGTATCGACCACAAAACGCTAACATTTGATTAGAGCCTAAAGCAATTAAAGGAAGCAGGGGAGCTTTTTTCTGTTCTCCTGTGCTGGGCCAGGTCTTTGTTTTGCAGTTGGTATTAAGTGCGGACATAAGTATAATTGTATTGACATTACAAACATCCAGGTTATAGCACTGCTTAGTTTACATTTGCAAACAGTCTAATCTGCTCCACTGTGAGCCTTTCCTCTGACTTGCTAATGTCTTCATCTTGTAAATTGTGTTTCACTGACTATTACTTCTTGTTATCGGCTTCTAATTCCACCTGGTTCTGCCCCCTCCTTCACACCTTCCTTTCTAATTCCAGCTGCTTCTGCTTCTTCCCTCATTCCTTCTTTTGCCGTCTTTATATCACCTTCATCACATTGTCATTCTCTCTCATTCTTCACATGAAACTTAAAAGTTGATTCTGACTGACTGGGTTTTTTTCGATTTTACAGTTGACCCACAAAGTTTCAGTAACTATAAATAAAAACACAAATCCAACCATGTATGTAAAACCTTTCTCTGCATTAGGACATATTGGCCAACATTAATAACGACATGTAAGTGAAAGGCTCATATTGGCCAATCTACCTCACAACCATTAACAGCTGATAGAAGTGCAATTTATTAATCGCAGCAGTGTGTTTTAATTGATTAAAAATGGCTGCCTAATAATAACTGAGCATGGAAATGCTGCCATGAAGCCATAATTGTTCTTTACTGTTTCTTTTTCTCTAATGGGAATCGTTTGCACTCATCTTCACAGGCAGAAGGCGGACGAGGCTTACCTGATTGGGAAAGGCCTGCCCCCTGTCGCTGCCTACCTGGACATCCCTGACATCATCAAAGTAGCCAAGGTAAAGAGCGTTCACCACAAGATGGTGTAAAATATGTAATTTATTAATAACACTCATTGTTTGCTTTAGTTTTAAGCTGCCTCACTTTTTTAAAGGGAAATTTAACATGTTTAATACTTAAGTACTCATGGGTCTCAAGTTGTCAAGGGATTTATCGTTATTTAAATGCCCTCTGTTCAGGTCCATATGTTAAAACGCCTCCTCTCCTGGACAGCCTATACACAGTATATAATCATGAAAACAGTGTGTTCTCATTCATCTGCCCCATCCTGCCTAATAAGCGGTGCAGATTTTGATTCAAAAACGTAACTTCACTTAAATGAGCTATCTAAGTTCATTTAGCTTGGAGGCTTTCACTTTGAAGTAGTTGTAGGAAGTCTTTAATTAGCATTAAAGGAAAAGTTAAACATTTGCCTATTTGCTTTCTTTCTGGGAGTTAAAACGAGAATATTTTATGTCTCGTCTGTGCATACAGAGGACTGTAAAGAGCTGTGGATGCGAGGCAATTAGAATAACTCCATAACTAACATGGGAATTGGGCTAAATGACGAGCCTGGCACCATCCAACGTGAGAAACTATGTCGACCAACATCTCTAAAGCTAATTTCTGTATTGTTTGTCACACATCTAACCTCAACAGAAATAAAAGATGGAGATATTAGTGGAAGTTGCATGTAACTGTGTTCAGGTTTAGGTCTTAAAGTGTTTTAATAATTGTTCTCATCCAGTTCACCTTTTGATCTTCAGGAAAAGCCCTGCTTCCTTCCTTGAGTTGTAAAGTCTTGTCTCTTGTCGTCAGTGATACAGCAAAGTTTTAAGGATTTCAGTGGCTTACAATTAAGTGGACAAGTGACAGACAAATCCCTCTTATTGCTTTCTGTTCACACAGTCAATATCCAGCTTGATTGGCAGGAAGGAAATGGAAAGAACTTCTCTCCATCCATCCCTCACACCTGCCCCCCACCTTCGTCTCTTCTCCTCTGTTTTCTTCCCTTTGTCCATCCTTATTTGCCTCATTCGTTTATCATCTTGTTGTTGCTGCTGCTTCCCTCCACCATTTCCCTCCATTTCATTATTGCTGTCCATCTCTCCCCCTCTCCCTTTCTTCCCTCCGCCACTTATCACTGTGTTAAATTTGTTCCTTGTTGCCTCCTCTCCCTCCCGTCCTCTCTCCATCCCTCCAGGAAATGCTGCCAGTTGATCATTATCATTTTTCAGATCAGTCTCTCACGGTTTATAATTTTCTGCGTGGGCATGTGGTCAGCTAGCCAAATTGGGGAACCTTCGCCATCCAACTCATTTCTCAAAATCCATCTGTCTATCTGGGAGCAGAGCCACCCCATGCCAGCGAGAAGTGTGTCTGTCTGTGTTCTTTTCTCTCCTGCTCGAACTCTCACCTTTTCACATTCAGTGTATGTTGTACTTCACACTGTGTATCATTCTGTTACTCTGTGACAGAGATAACCGTCCGTTTCTGTCCCACTACGTGTGTGCACATCTGAAAGCTCGAGTGTACACTCTTGTTTGTATGACTGTTTGCATTGCATGTCATGTTATGGGGGTTAGATAACTGAATACAGATAACTTTTTGTAGTTTGTATTGTAATCCATTGCATTGATGCAGCTACAAAAGATCCACAAATAATAATTCAACTCTTAAAAAAACGTCTTGAAACATTTTTTAGTACAATTAAAATGTACACATGCAGCATTATGCTTGCTAAAAGTGAAGGCATCGCTTAACTTATCGACCATAAAACTGTGGCAGATGCGAATGAGCCCATGAGCACAGCGGTAAAAATTGTTCAAGCTTAATTCCGTTGCACATTTCTTCCTGCAATGGTGGCTCGCTAACTAAGTAGGTGACCATTAAGTGTTTGTTCAGATTTTAAGTTGAGCTCTTTGCAGGTGATAAACATTTTTTTTTTTTTGTATAAATGGCAGTGGATATTATTTCTTTCTTGTGTAGCACGTAAAGTTAGTGCTTGAACCTTTCCCCTTGACTCATTTTGTTGCCCTACCACAAAGTGGAGCACTTGTCTAAGAACCCTTTATGTCAGACATGCTTCTCATTTATCATTACCACTAGCTAACATGTAATAAAGTTACAAAATGGACTATGTCTTATAATCTTTTTTAAATGTGTTCTTGGCCAATTTATAGTCACTTATTATTTCAAACTGAGAACAAAATCTGAAACTACTCAGCCCTGGTTATGGGTTGTTGTGTTAGCAAGTGGATGAAGCTTCATGTCTGAGTAGGTGGTGGTGTGTACCTGCTTGTGTGCACTTGCAGCTTTTCGTGTGTTTGTGAAGCTCTATGCCTCCTCTGGCCTGCCAGTAACAGCTCCCTTAACAACGGGACAGCCCATAATTATAGTCCGCCTTGTATCCAAGAGCAGATGGCACATACTGATCCAGAGATGGCTCTATCTGTCAAGCTCGGCAGCTACTGTATCTGCCTGCTGCCCTGTGTGTATATGTGTGTGCGTCCACGTGCGTGCACCTCTCACTACCTTCCCCCTGACCCTCACATTATGCCTGTCTGTCGACTCATTCAGTCTCCTACTGGTGTCCATTCAGTAGATGATGGGCGACTGCAACTAAGATAGACGAGAATAAAATGTGTCATTAGCCCACAGTGACATGTAAAACCTTTTCACTGGCACACATACAGTGTGTGCTAAAGCATGCAGGCTAGTGTGTGTCGACGTTTTGTTTCCCTCACTAATAGTCAGCCAAGAGTTAACTGTGGCTCCTTGTTCAATAGAGCTCCTGTTGCTTAGCTGGGCTACATTTCCGTTCTCTGGGCTCCACAAGCAAATAACTTCAGTCCAAACTTTGATTAAATGTGAATTTAATAAGCATTTTGGCAACTGATTGTTTTAATTATGGACATTTTCTTCTCGGTAACACCCAAGTCAACAAGTACAACACAAAGAAATATAATAAAAATGACCTTTTCTTTTCTATCCCTCTCTCATTACTTAGGAAAACGATGTGGATGCCATCCACCCAGGTTACGGTTTCCTCTCTGAGCGTGCAGACTTTGCCCAGGCCTGCGCTGATGCAGGAGTGATGTTTATTGGGCCGACCCCAGAGACGGTCCGTAAGATGGGGGACAAGGTGGAGGCTCGCTCCCTGGCCATCAGAGCAGGTAAGAAAGGGGACGACTGGGAAGGTCATAATTTTAATAGTTGTAATAGCTGTAATATGTGAACTATTTTATAACATCAACTTATTTATATATTTACTGTAAATGAATTGGACCAAAGTCTAGATACTATATTTAGTAGCCTTTTGTTTGCAACATCTTCCACTGTAATAATTTGTTTAGCTCCATTTCTCTCTCTGTACTAGATTACCAAGGACTTTTTTGTAAAACAATTTTTCCTCACTTTTTTAAGAACAGGATTTTATATATTTTCTCTCTACCCACCCTTGTCTAGGTGTACCCGTGGTCCCAGGAACAGATTCCCCCATCTCCTGCCTGAACGACGCGCAGGTGTTTGCCCAAACATACGGCTTCCCCATCATCTTCAAAGCAGCCTATGGAGGTGGTGGCCGAGGGATGAGGGTGGTCAGGGAGTACGAGGTGAGCCCGTCAGCCGCTGCCATGTACGATCACTTCTGTCAGAGATGTAATTTAACACCTACTCAAACAACATAAATCTTGTCCTGATGCTTTTCCAGCACAGGGAAAACAAACCCAACTTGCTGACCGGGCCAGCCTCATGACACGTTTTTTATTTTCATTAATTTTCTATTTGTATCTTACGTCAAAGTGAAATGGATGGAAATTACAACCTGGTCATTTATCTCTCTCTAGGCGCCAATCACCCTCTGTGTTTTGATGTGTGTGCTCTGAAATTGACTCTGTCACCCAGCGATACTTCCATCAGCTGAGGACTTTGCAAAATAATGTATCTGTCCATGGCCCACATTTGAAATATGCAGCTCAGTGTAAAAATAATCTTGCTTATGCTATGATTCCAACATGAGTGATTTTTAAATGTTTACATTCAAACATGTAGTTCTACATAAATATATATGATCAGGAGATGAGAAGCTGCAGACAGGAAAAATGCTTTTTGAAATAAGCTATTTATTGTGTATCCCTTGGCAGATTTATATCTACCACTCTGTCACCATCGTCCTCCTCTCGGCCATGAAAGGGTGACATCAGCCAGACAGCAATGATTCTCTGTCACTTTAGTTGTCATTGTAAATACCACACAGTACTGCTGTCAGACATGAACCGTTGTATGTTAGAAATGTCATACAACAGAAACACGCCCACTCATTAGCTTTGAATTCTTCTTCCTGTACTCATGAATTTTTAAGAGGAGCAACTGACTCGGACAATTGCATTCTCACATAAAGCCGCTCTGGAAAATGCGTTCAAAATTGTCAACAGGCCACTTTGAAGAGTATTTGAGTTATTACCTTTTGATTGGAGGCTTGTTCTTTACTCGCCAGCTTCAAACTAGAACCCCAAGTATAAACTCACAAGTTACTTTTCTTGTATTTCAACTTCATAATGCAAAAATAAATGTACAGTATAAAGTGCAGAAAACTAAAAGCAGACTCTGTTACAGACTTTCATATATACATAATGTAGAAAATTTTCATAATTTACCATCTGTGGTCACAGTCTGCATATACAATTCCTCTTCTGAGTTCCATCTATGTAGCGTATGCCCTGTGTTATAATATAACAACACTGCTTACATACAAAAAGACTCAGTCGCTTAAAATATATTCGGTAAGCTTTTCATTGACACAGACAGCAAATCTCTGCTCACTAGCTAAGTGCTATTGTGGGAGATGCTTGTGAAAAATTCAGTTGTAGAATTTAAAACTGCAAGAAAAATTTCAGTGAAGTGATACTGAGAAACTGGGCCAAGCAGGACCAACATCTCACTTTAACTTTCCATGGTTTAATGGTAGGGGTCATCATTATTGTCCTTCTTTTTTAATTTGTTTTTATTGCAGATTGTGGGAAATAATTAATGGCAAAATAAAACAATCTGAATTTAAAAGTGACCTCAGGACATCAGCATATGAGAGAGTTTGATGACCTTTTTATCCAAAATGTGTGTCTCATGGGAAAATGAAATCCCTCATGCCAGAGGACACCAAGAAGTGGGAACTCGTCACTCCTGTTTATTTCAGCATAGACCTGGCGGCAGCTTTGCTTCTTGTGCCAGCAGTAGCGGTGGCACTGGAGGGGAGTGTGCGCGGTCGTTGGCCTTCTGAACGAACAAAGCTTTCCTCCATTCCTGCCTCAAGTTTGACCACGTCAGAATTTTGAACAGGCAGCTGGTTGATGTCCAATCAAATGGAAGAGGCCAGAGATCAGTGGTGAATCAGCTAAATCCACTTCGTCATTCTTCATAGCTGCTAGTGTTTTTTTTATTTTTTGAACTAAGAATGTTTAAGTCACAATAAATAAGGCCATCCAAATCAGCAACATTATATTTTTATTTTCTTTTAGAAATAGTGAGGCTTATTTATTTTATGTACTTTCTCTTTAAGCCTCAGATTTAAGCATGGAATGTTAATCTTTAGGGCTACAATTATTTTTATTGTAAATTTATTCTGCTGATCAAAGCCTAGAATTAATCAACTAAATTATATAGAATGACAAAGGGAAAACATAAAATCCTCGTTTGAGAGTCAACCTTAAATAATTTTTTGCGTAAAAAATGGCTGGAATTTTAAAAATAAAAGTGTTATTCTGTATATGTCGTGTTACAGCTGTGACATTCACTAAACCCTTGACCCAGAGAGAAAAATATGACATTCTAACCACACCGGCCAGTGTCAGCCGCAGCGGTTTCATGCTTTGCTCACTAATCTACACAGGGAATGACAGCGTTGTGCTGTACTGTAGTCACTGAGGCTCACGCGGCGGCAATCAACTGGAAACTATGACCTTTTCTGAGTTGTACCCCAGTCTAATTAATTAGTTGTCGACATTTCTACTTATTCAGTTGAGACGGGGGGGCCTCTGCAGCTCCAGCTGATATGATGTGAGGAAATTGTAAAGGGGTTTCTCTGCACTGTTGGGACCCCAAGCTACAATGTGCAGATTGACTTTTTCTTCCATTAAGACGAGCTTGTGGGTCATTGGTATGCAGAATTAACAGACTGAGCCAAACTATTTGGATCCTGCTGTGGGACAAGATGTGTATGTTTACTGATGAGGAAGGCACCAATAAAGTGCCAGATTTTAGCTCAAAATTTGATGTGATGTGGTTCCCAAATAGTAAAGAGAACAGTAGAGCTGCACGAATCAAAGCTCCAGTGGCCAAAGCTGTAAGAGCGACTGAACTGATGTGGAAAGAGAACAAATGGAAGTCTGCCAACTGAGTCTTTCAAAAGTCTTTGGTGCCATTTACAGAAATGCAGGTGCACCGATAACTTGAAAACTTTGCAAAGTTGGGTGGACATGAAAGTAATAGTTTATTTAGTCTCCTACAGTATTCAACTGAATTGAGTCATTTGGTCATGCTAGTAGTGATGTTTTGGTTCCAGTAAACTATATGGGGGGTTTATTTATAAAGTAATTCCCTCATGCACATAAAAACACGATCAGAAATGGAGGAAAAGGCTCATTTATGCAAAAAGATATTCAAAAGATAACTGTCATTGCCCACATACTTCTATTCATAGTGTCCGTTTATCGCTGTTTGTTTCCTGCCCACTTTTGATGACATTGACGTCTGCTTTTCGCCTTGAGCAACTGGTCGTTTTGCATGCAATAGTATCTTTTTTCGAACTTATGAGCTGACAGCTGAGGATGGGGCTTGCGTATCTTCTCCAAAGGCACTGGGATGAAGGCATGATGGTGACTCAGTGTTTCCCCAGTAGAGGAGACTGGATGGGCTGGCAGGAGAACATGCTGACAAACACAGATTGAGTCATGACCTTTAGCGTGCTTGGTCATGACCTCCTACAGCCTGGTCCCAGAGATGTTGTGTAGCATCTTACTCCCAATGGCTGTGTACGGGTGTGTAAACATCTATGTCACAAAAAGGGGGAAAAAACTACTCAACATGACATGCGAATGACAAGTGATGTAATACTGGTTAAAACAGAAAATGGAAGTCCTGAATAAAAGTACATGACCTGATGCTGCAGCTTCAAAACACCTTGAAAACCATATGAATTCTTCACGTGACTCTTTTTCCTCTTGAATGGAAACACTAACTCAGACATTATGGGTTTGTCTTGTCTGTTTGTCAGGAACTCGAGGAGAATTACCAGCGGGCCTACTCTGAAGCCCTGGCGGCCTTTGGGAATGGAGCTCTGTTTGTCGAGAAGTTTATTGAAAAGCCACGACACATTGAAGTACAGATCCTTGGTAAGTGCACTCTTTGACTGTGGGTCAGTTTTATGTGGATTGACTGAAGTTCATTAAGAGACTCACAGAAGTCCTTGAACTCATCAGCAGTGCAAATGTTGGAAGAGAGAAACAAGAATGACTGAGCAGATGATTCTCCTCGAATTCATTTTCTCATTATAGTGGATGTAACTCTTTAACCATTCAATATTATGGAACTGATATTTAACTGACACTCTCAGGAAGTGTCTGTATTTGTCTGTGAATATGTGTTTATGCGTACACGTTCATGTGTACAGTGCTGTAGGTGCTTGTGTTACCAGACATCTGTCTGTGTTGGCAGTGCTCTCTTTTGTGCGTGTGTGTGTTTCTGTCTCTGGTGTAGTCCTGAGTGTGTGTGGTCACTGTGAGTTATTACTGTCTTCAGGGCATGCAAGGGATTTAGTGAATTTTCTGAATCACCTGTAAAAAGCCATGTCTTTGCCAACCCTCTGTTTCCCTGCATATCTCCCCTTTCCTTACATCCTCCCTTTTACTTTCCCTTCTCCAAATATATTTCATTATTCAGACTTCGGTTCATAATAGGATGTTAATCAGTATGTGCAGTCCAGATAACAAGAAGATGTGTTACATGGTGGTCTCTGGAGTCATCTGTCTAAGGACACTTAGGATGTCTGTGTTGACCAGTGTATCGTGTGTCATTTCATGCCATATACAGACATGGGTTGTCACATCGTGAGTCTGAAGTCCTGATTTTCTGACAGGGTGTCTCTGGTCGACAAAGCCATAAACTGTCTGTCGATGAACGTGTCTCACAGGGAACCTGGCACGGACAAATGTTTCGTGTACATCTCCTTCACCCCCACTATTCAACCATCTTTCTCTTCATACTTATAATTATTTTAGAATTATCTTTCATGCTCCTGCCACCTGCTTGTCTCCTTGTCTCTGTTTCCCCAGGTGATAAGTATGGTAATGTCATCCACCTCTACGAGAGAGACTGCTCCATTCAGCGAAGACACCAAAAGGTGAAGTCCCCATTTAAAAATTCATCTCACCCAACTTAAAATTTAAATGTGTTTAAGATTATCTTCATGGCATTTCTGCCGTATTACATAGATTAGCGTGAAGTGGATGTTGATGGTGAGTGGGCATGAAACAAAGGTCATAAGCAGGAATCGCACCCGCAAGCACTGCAGGCTGCTAAATACACAAAAGGCTCAAGTGTTTTTATTCCCCTTTTATGCAGGATAATAGGCCAATTAAGCTTTGGATAAATAATCAAGATTATTACTGTCCTGATTATAGCGTTGATTATTATGGTACTTGTGGCCCTAGCTGTTGTAGATGTCCACAGCAGCAGGGGTTAAGAGGATTATACACAAATAAGCCACTGTTGCTGCTGAATGAATTAGAATTAGCACAGGAATAAATTAGGTTTTCTGTCATCACATGATTGTAATTTACATTAAATAGAAATTGTCTAATGTCAGTCAATCATCAGGGAAAACAGATCTCACGTAGTGTTTCACTTAGTCTCGTCACCTCGAAGGACTTTAATCGCTGTTTTCATCATTTTCCTCCTTTCCTTTTAATCAAATTATAGATGATAATCATATTAGCGACTCCATTCATGCCAAAGCTGCTGTTCTTAAATTCTGTGAGACTTAATCTGCCGTTGCCCTTAATCTAAGATCTGTTTGAATCTCAGAAACACGAATAGTCTCTCGTTGAAATATATCTGGAGCGCCGATGGGATATTTTTAGCTTTTCTCAGTGTCTTGGAAGTGCTATTCATCCTTAGAGAGTCTTTTTTTTTACTGGAATACGATTTGATAAAAAATTAAATTTGAATTAAATTGTCTTTCTTTTTTTTAATCAGACACGGGTCACATTGTTTTGAACTAGATTCAATTATTTCTCTTGGATGGGATGACTTGTTTGACACAGTGGAATGAAACAGATGAGCCTTCAGCACAGTGAACCCTACCCACCCAGCAGCCAGGGCGCAGAGCAAATGAAAGGCTGAATGTGACTTCAAATGACTCACTACATCTGATTTGCTAAGGCTGTGACACAAAATTATTCAAAACGATTGCTACCGTACTTAAAAAAACCCACATTTTAATATTTATAAAATTTTGGTTTGGGTTTTTATTCTATGGTTCTGCTTGGTCTGATTTAAGACTCATTTGTAAACTGGCGGCATAGTAAGTGCTCAAGCAGGTCCAGGCATTTTGTTAAAAGCGTCGCTAAATGATGCCTTTATGCAAACAACAGATTAAATGATTGTGCCGTGTGAAAATTATCACTTGTAGCAATGAACCAATGGAGAATAATTGCCCAGCTCTGCGGTTCCCTTCAGTTCTACAGGGAGTTTCAGCATCTGTCAGCTCGTTGTTTCATTTTACAGCTCACACTGTTTCTGTGTTGGCTCACACTCACTGATCTCAACACTGTTTTCACTTTAAAAAAAAAAAGAAAATCCCACTTTACATAGAAGGTCAAACAAGGCCGTAAAAATTATAGAGAAACCCAACAGTTCCCACAATGAGCGAGATCGAGTGAATCTAAGGCAGGATATCGTTCAAGAGAATTAGAAGAGTTTCAGTGCAGGTCATAAATCCCACCTGGACCAAACTAAAAAGTAGAAGTAAACATCAAATACATTTTCTCAAAGAGGGTTTCTATCATTGTAGGTAGTTTTTGTCACACTGATTTTTTCTGTTAAGTTTGATTTAATTTGTCTACTGCGACTCCATCCCCTCAACACTATTGTGCAGACTTTTGCATGTGCACAAGATGGCAGCGTTCATATCCAGGATATTCTGACTTAATTTCTGGATTGTATGAAGAAGTGAAGATGTGTCATCCATCTCGATATACAGTCTATATTTGAAACATTTTCTTATCCTGACAATGATACTTTACTGCATTTGCATTCTGAAAATCTCGTGATCACTTTAAGGCGTTATCAATAAAATGATTCTTGCTGTCTTGAAGGTGGTGGAGATTGCGCCAGCCTTCCAGCTGGACCCTCATCTGAGAGACAGACTTCACGCTGATGCTGTCAACCTGGCCAGACAGGTAGGGTTCTGTGATTTGTGGTTTGGTGTTTAAGCCAGTATCAATCAGCCACAAAGTTCTCATGAGTTCCTCCGTCTCTGTGTTTGACATGCAGTCATTTCCCAAAGATTCAAGTTAACAAATTACATTTGCGAAAATACCCCGAGGGAAATTGGGAGAAAAAGTTTTATGAGAGATCTTCTACTTAATCATATTTTAATCAGAGCGCACAAAAGAATAGTTGTGTATTAAAATGATGTTAAATATTAATGTGGCTGTAGCCTGATGTTAAGTTGGGCTATTCACTAGGAAGCAGTATTTCCTCTGAGCTGTCAAGGAAGGTATCAGCACTTTGAAAATGCAGTTCTAGAGTTTTTACCACTTGTAAAGGAAAGTTGGCAGAGTTGAGGAGAAAATTGCTCAGTGACATACAAAAATCTTTCCCAGTGAGGACATGAGGTTTTTTTAGGAAGTCTGAGCCAATCTCTGATGCTACTAATGTTTTTGGTCTATAATTAATCTGCAAAACAACTGGATTCTCCCCAGGAATTTTAATTTGCCATAAACATGCGATTCAAATTAGGGCTGCAATAGTATTTTGCTTAAGTGTGAAAATCAAAATGCGATTTGAATATGGATGGAAATAGATCAGCTGTAAAGAGAGTAAATGCTCCTCTTGAAATGAGTGTTTGAAAAATTTTAGAGTGTATTTCTCTCAAAACAGTTTTGATTGTTGTCACCAGTTGTGCTCCCTGCGTATGCAAAAACATTCACCACAAAATGAAAGCTTACCTTTTATTGCCCCTTTAAAAAAAATATCTCACTGCTTTTGGCTTCTGTGTTGCTAAAAAGTTGTCTAAAATACAGTAGCATCAGTTAGGTGGAGCTTCAACTCTCAGAGGAGATTTCAACTAATGGCCTTTTGGGGTAATGGCCCAGTTGAGGAATGGATAGAAGTGAGGAGGGAGGAGTAGGAGCGGAGGATAGACACAAGAATGGTGATTCTCTAAAGAAATGACCTTGATGATAGTGATGCAGAAATGGTGATATAAGAGAGAGGTAGAAACTTTGTTCGTCTCATGATATGACCTTGCTCTCATCTATTTTTTTACAGTAATCAAATAACCTCAACCGGCTTATCCACCGATGAAATGATAAACCCTGCCTTCTTGTGTGTAAGAGCAGTATCAGCAGCTCACTCTTGTCCATAACTCTGCATATTACCATTTTAGACAAGAATAATGCCGCTCCCCAAATGACAGAGTGCCAGTGAAGAGTGCAGCGTGCATGCATGCTCACGCACACACCCATTTACTATTCTTTATAGGGATTCCACTGTGTTAGTGCATGGACACTCCATCACACAGTTGCAGCCCTGACATGCTGTCAGCGAGAACACGTCCTGGTTGCATGTAGGAGGAAGATTTCTCTTGTTTTCAAACCTTGAATTCACCTGAATTAA